TGCAAACCTGCTTTGCTGGCCTCTTCCTACTTCCCACACATCCTTCACTTTGAGGAAGGAAAGGATAGAGAGAAGATAACACAGATGGGTGCTTTTGATTTCCCTCGGGTCTGAAGTCCCTTTCCAAATGAGTAGATCTGGGTGTGTGCCCTGAAGAGACAATACATCCACAGACATTGTGTTTGGGGTTATATAATGCTGAGTTGCACAGATTTTGCTGTGTGTTTCTTCTGGGGGCTGCCAGAACCAGTGGCTCTGCATGTTGCTCCTGCATCCAGGCACTCAAACATCTACATTGCTGAATGCACACCATGCTAGGAAAGCATTGTTTAGAATTTTTTTTTTGAATGAGTAACTATGAATATTAATTCCATTTTACTGAGGAAATTTTAAAAGCCAAATTAAAACGTGTGCCTGATTTAAAAAACAAGACCCCACAAAACCTGTAAAGCATCTTTGTAAGGTCTATTTAAATGTTTGGAGACAATTCTGAGACAAGCATCTAAATATAGTCAAGTGATTCAAGAGTTGCATTAGCCTACATGATACCAGCACTAACTTGTCTGGCAGACAGCCAAAGCTGCAGGGCCAGATTGAGAGCTGCTGGAAAGAGGACTTCCTTGTCCTAAGGAAAGCAATGACAGTTAATTTTATTCTTTTACATGTATATTACATGACTAAAATATGTAGAGAAAGAACATAGGATATAACTAATACCAAATGGTCTTCGTTTCCAGCTCACCTACATTCACATATTTTAAATGCTCTGCAAAACCCAATGTCTTTAGCTGAAAATTTTGCATAATGCAAGTATGATGCTTGTACAAATAAGTACTCTATAGCACAGTAAAATTTCTCAATATTGGAGCACCTCTCCTATGAAGACAGGTTGAGAGAGCTGGGGTTGTTCAGCCTGGAGAAGAAAAGGCTCCAGGAAGACCTTATAGCACCTTCTAGTACCAAAAGGAGGCTACAAGAGATGTGGGGAAGGGCTTTTTCCATAGGCAGGTAGTGATAGACTGAGTAAAAATGGCTTTAAACTGACAGAGGGAAAGTTCAGATTAGATAGTCTATATTTAGGAAGATATACTTTACTGTGACAATGGTGAGGCACTGGAACACCCTTCACAGAGAAGCTGTGGATGCCCCATCCCTGGAAGTATTTAAGGTTGGAGGGGACTTTGAGCAGCCTGGTGTAATAGGTGTCCTTGCCCCTGGCAGGGAGATTGGAGAAAGGTGATCTTTAAGGCCCCTTCCAACCAAACCATTCTGTGCTTCTGTTATGCTATAAATAAGTGAATGCACATTTTATGAAATAGTGTAAGGGTATTCCAAGATCTTCTGTTTATTAGAGACAAATATCTCTCCAGAAATGTTTACTGACAAAAGAATCTTCCTGAATGACAATTTGTTTATGCTTTCCTTATAACCTATTTTTCCTCCTTTTAAGTTACTATCCTTTATGGAATTATGGATGGCTGAAGTAGCTCTTTCTGGTCAACAAAACATTCCTGACATCTGCAAAACTATTCAAAATCTTTTCCCATTTCAACTCATCTGTAATCAGATTTTTCAGCCTTTCTGAGACACTGGGAGTCTCATCTCAAATGTTAGATCTAGTCTTGAATCACTAAATCCTGTCAACAGCAAAAGATTTCCCTCATTGCAACCCTACTCTTTTTGGTGAGATACATCACTGGGAAATGGCTGCAGCAGTCCTACTTCTGGCACTTCTGTAAAAGTGTTGGCAGTGCTGGGAAGACCTGGGCATGAGGTAGAGCTGCCTCACAGGCTCTGGAGAGACTCAAATGCATGGTGGGCTTTGTGGCAGGCCACTGTGCCAGTTATAGGTAAGACAAGACCTTAACATTTCTAATCCTGGGACCTTTGGATTTTATCCAAATGCTAGGTACCTTGACTTGTTAAGTTCCTAACTCCTGTCCCAACTTTGGATGCTTTCACATACCAGGAACTATGTTATTTTGTAATTGCTTGAATAAAAGTGCAGATGAAAATCAGTTAGAGCTGCACTACTGGCAGCAAATTAATTTCTCTTAGAAGCTATTACAACTACCAACCCCAAATTATCCTCATCCCAGCTGGAGTGGTGCCTCAGTCAGCAGTTCACCGTTTAAGACGTTCTTTGTGTGAATAAGAGAAGAAAGAACCTAATTGTCCTTTGTTGTAATTTTTATTGGTGCATTTCCAGTGGATCTTTTTGCTTAACATTACAACAGAGTAACTCAGCAGCTTTTTGTGAATCCAAGTAATCATTTGGCAACACCATTGCCAAATCATTGCAAACATCACTGCCATGGAAAATGGAGGCAAATCCTCATGGTGGAGATTCAGCCCTTGGCTCATGCAGAATCTGACATAAGCACCAAGAAAAGGTGATGTTTTTGCTAAATTTTTGATGGGTTTTCAGCTTGAACTAGGTCAGTTGTGGCCATATCTCTGGTGTGGGATTCTGGATGTCATGGTCCAGAAAAGCACTGGCAAGTAGTGTGAGATACCCCAGGCATGTGAACAGCAGTCCCTGAAGTACTTTCTGCTCCTCACTGACTGAATGTTTTCCCCACTGCTGCACAATCCCTGTTCTGAGCTGGTCATGGAGGCTTCTGGTACAGAGAAAACAGTTTGGGTCTGAGGAAGCTCAGCAATGTCATCCCCAGCCACCAGCAATGCAGAAGGCAGTTCTGTTCCTCCCCCATCCCTGTTTGTGCACTGAGGCATGGGTCTCAGTTCCCTATGGAGCTCATAGGGACTGGCTGTAGAAATGCAGAGGGGCTTCCATTTCCAGTGAGTGCCCAGGACATTCTAACTTTAGGAGCTGTTAGAAACTTGAAGGTTTGGTTGCTAATACAGGACTTTTCAGGCACATGTCCTTCTTCTGCTTGTAGGGGTGAGAATCATTTGAAGAGCAAGAAATGCAAGAGGCAGGAGGCTGAGACCCAGGGACACCAACAGCAGACTGAAAGGCTTCAGAGGTGCTTGGGGCTTGCAGGGTCTGTGTCTCACTGAGACAGGGAATAGAAACAGGAAACAAGACATCACTTTTTAGTGGTTGCATGATTTCAGTGAAAAACACCTCATTCACAGAACAGAACAGTTGTTTGAAGATAGGTAAAAATGGAGCAAAAAGGCCCACTAGGTTGCACTTAACTAAGGAAACAACTAATAAATTTGCTTTCTTTGGAAGGAACTGTGTATTCTATTCCTGCAAGTCTTTCCACACTCGGGGTGAATGAAGCAGGCCATCTTCTGCTCTGCTCTGTGCAGCAGTGACCAAAGAAGGGCTGGCAATGTGGAAGTTTAACTATCTTAAATGTCCAGGAAAAATAAGGGAGATTTAGCTTATGAGAGTCTGAACAAAGAGAGTGTGGGAGCAGATTTTAATTTCCCTGGAATGAGGTCATTTCAATATCATTTTATTTCTTAAATCTGTTGTTCTGTTCAGCAGTTCCTTGTGTTTTTCAGTTCAGATCAGCTCTTTCAATGAGGTTATTCTCAAAATTATGGTGTTATGTGACCCATGGCTACTAATTTCCATATCTAATTATTAAGTTTGCAACTAAATAAATAGGGTTTCTTTCAGCATAGTCTTATCTTATAAATTGAATTATAATCAGCATCCTTGGCCTGTGTGATCTTTGGAGCCCTTTGAGCTACAACAGTTAAAATACATCAATTTCTGTCACACCAGAGAGCCATGTAGCTAACTCTAATCTGCTTTTAACTCTTTAGTCAACTTCATGCTTACAGTTCTGAGAGGAGCCACTCTTTTGGAACAATCTCAGTCATCCTTGTAACATAGTAGCAACCCCTTCTAACCACTCCACTACTGTACTCCTACATTTTCCAGTTATATCACTTAAAATGTGGTATTTTAAAATCATACACTTCTAACATACCAGTACATTCTTTGTGAAATATTACTCTGCAAAATGTCCCATTGTTGGCAAGAAATTGAAACTGAGATGCTCATTTAGGATCTTAGCCCAAGGTATTGCCATTTGTCTTAATATACAAAACTTTTGATTGTTTTACAGGTATTACCTGTATTTTTCTGTCACCTGTGACAGAACTGCATGTTAACCTGCCTAAATATGGATATTAGGAGAAAGACAGATGATATTAGGAAAAACAATTCAGGAAGTGCATCTTCTTAGTTGCACTGACTCAGTCCATTTCTTGTGACTAACCCTATGCAGACTTTGGGGTTACTTTTTACCCTTCTGAACAATTCAGACATTTGTCTGCATCCAGGTGAGATGAACTGAGACCCAAGACATTATTCAGTTATGAGACATCCAAACTCAGCCCAGATTTCAAACTCAAGATCTTTTCAACCCTTGTTCTGACAGTGACAACAGAAGCTCTGTCAAATTGTTCTTCAGCTGTGCCTGTGCAGCGGTGGTTATGGTTTTGGTGAGATTCCACTGAGTCTACTGGCTAAATAAGGTTTCAGAAGCATAATTCACTCACTCTATCTATCTATCTATCTATCTATCTATCTATCTATCTATCTATCTATCTATCTATCTATCTATCATACATACATACATACATACATACATACATACATACATACATACATACATACATACATAATATAAGTAATAAATACATAATAGTAATGCCCTTAGTGATATGTGAGACAAAGTAGAACCCAATTAATATCTCTTCTATTCTTGGCAGTTTAGCAGAGGTGCTTATAAAGTAACAAGTAGTATTTTCTGTAATTAAGTTACATGTTTGTGATACAGAATACACAAATGAATAGATCTGTTTCCAAAAGTGATCACAGTCTTACAAAACAGTTTCATAAACGAGTTGCCTTTTGTTAGTCCAGCAGAAAAAAAAAATTTCAACTCACTCTTCCTTTTAGGTTTCTGAGGCCAGCTGAATTGCATTGTCCTTGCCATTATCTCAAAGAAGATACACACAATTAAAAGTCATGGAAGGAAAATAAAATTTGTTGTATTTCATTCTGATGGGCTAATATTTATTTGAAAATCTCCTAGTTCAGTGCTTAGTATATTTCCACAATCTGTACATCTGTATTTGCAAGAATAACCAGAATGATGACATCCTGTTGTACCTAAAATAGACAAGACTAGCAAGAGGAGGTACCCTGAAATGACATTTGGTAAAAATTATTCACTCTCCCACAATCCTGTTCCCTGCCGTGTCCTTCATGTCTGTTATTGATCAGGTCTTCACTCGAAGCAGGAAGTGTCTCTTTGAGCCCGTGCTTTAGCTGCAATGATAAAGTAGGTCATTGATTAACTGGAAGTATGACAGGCAGCTCCTCCAGTCAGGTCGTGACGTACTCTAAGTCTTGAGGGAGGAGAGCAAGCGATGAATCAGTAATGTGAAAAGAAAGAAAGCCCACAGGTTTTAGTCTTTTGGGAGGACTTCTCTCAGCAGCATAGTTAGTAGCATTACCCTCAGCAAGTTGACGGCTATGCAAATTCACCAGAGGAGCTTTTCAGGTTTCCAAAAAAAGAAAAAGAAGAAACAAACAACTAAGATGAAATTCTCTTACCCAACTACAGTACCTAGGGAATTTTTTACTTTGCAGGCAACCAACTCATATTGGCTACTCCTACTCATTGTTCTCTACTTTTAGGTATAATATATATAATTAAGCACTGTCTAATTAAGCAGTTTTACATGCATTGGTTTCCACTGTACTGTCTTTTGGCAGCAATTCCTTAAGAGTCCTTGTCCTTAGCTCTGCTCCATGGCTACTCACCTTCTCCTGGCTTCCAAGACCTCAGTGGGAGATCTTTTGCGTTGGCACACTCAGGGGAAGTCTCAGGGCTGCTCAACTCCAGCAGCGCAGTGCAGGACAGTCCTGCAAGCAATTCTGCCACCCTATGCACCTCATTGCCCCAGTGTGACCATTGCCACAAAGCCCCACAGATATCCTCTTCCTCTTCTTTTCTGTGCCCTTGCACTTCCCAAGCAAAAATTGCAGCACACACTGCAGCACACACTGGTCTTTCATTAGCTGGCTTGCACCATTAGTAACATCTAAGGAGGGGTGGTGCTTACACCACAGAGCAATTCCCTGTCAGACTCTCCCTGAGAGAACAGAGATGTGTCTTTGACTGAGCCAGAGCCTTATCCTGACCATGCTGAGTAACCAGTATTCCCTCTTCCCCTGCCCCCACTGGGTGTTTTTTTGTTCCAAATTTGCTCACCATGTTCCATGGCTGGCATTGCTAGATGTCAAATCTGCTCTTCAGTCAGTTCAGAAAGCAGAACAATGTTGCCTCAGCACTATGCACTGTATCACCCAGCAGCTTTCACACACATATTTGATGTGACTTTTTTCCAAAGCATGGAAAATCCACAATTTCTACTGCTGCCTCCTCACTGCCTCCCACTTTCCTACCCAATAAAAGCTAGCTCAGCCACTTGCAAACGCTTTTTTTCAGATAGTAGCACTGCCCACAGTCAGTCTATATATTGTGTGCAGGAAGAGAAAATTAAACAACTGGCATTTATTTAGCTATTTTTGACTTGCAGAGCTGTGGGACTCATCATCTCCCACGCACTTCTGTCTCACGTCCGAATCTCTGGTGCCCTGACAACTCCAGCCCTCCACACTCTCTGCCTGTAGCTGCAGCAGCCTGAGCTAAGCAGTGACTACTTCCATAGGTTTAAGGGGGAAAAGTATAGCCACAAATGAACTCAAGTAGCATTGACTGGTTTTAATTAAAATCTGTGGTATTTGTTTTTATCACAATTACATAAATATGTAATATATGAATAGAAAGAAATATTACATAAATGTGTGAATAAATAATCAAAAAATTATATAGAGAGCTATAAGATAGTCAGATTCTCAATATATTTGTGCAAAGAACTTGAAGCAGCATTGAGCATTGCAAGAGTGTGTGGTCACTGTCAATGGGCAAACATAATTTTATTCTGTCATAATTCAACTTTATTTTAATAAATTTTATTTGCTTTTTATAAATAAAGTAGGAAAATTAAAGAATGCTGAAAAATAATTTAACATATTTCTGTGTTTGTTAAAAGTCATTATGTGTAACAAATTAATTAATGAAATTCTTTAGTCCAATCATTTTCTCTGGAGCTTACTTGTGTCTTTCCTTTCTTTCCTTCTTCCATGCATTCCCTCTTTCTTGAGGGAATTTTTATTTGAATATCAGCTTTTGTGCCTGATCTTGACATCCAGTTTATCCAATATATCAGTAGATCTTCATGGCACAGCTCACAGAGTTTGATGCTATCAGTAACTCTTAGCTAATGATTACCTAAATGCTACAGCCATGAAAAAGATGTCCTAAAGTATATTCAATGAAGCAGGATGTACTGGAAAATTACCAAGATTACTCAGCAGTTTCATTTTAGGAAATCTGTCTGTTGCTAGAATAGAAAAAACCTTTACTAGTCCCTTTCCAGCAAGAACACAGAATACAAGGATACAGAAGAAGCACGTATTTCCTTAGCTGAACTCATCCAATGTCTATTTAGACAGAGAGTGACATCAGAAGTGCATTTAGCAGTTACTTAATCAGAAAAATACTACACAGGCTACAAAGAATTTTAAGAAAAAGTATCCCAATCTCTTGGAGTAGGCCTACATGAACATTTCCACTGTCATACTGCTAGTCAGTCACGGCAGCTGGAGTTTTCCTGGACAGACCCCTGTGTGTTCTTGATGTGACTGAGGTCCTTAGATGCTTTTTCAGGGCAGATATATTCCATGACAGTGGAGCTGAAGTGAGGAGCAGCTCTTACCCCAAGACATACCAAAAACCTGGACATGAAGCAATCCCACCCTTCCAGGCAGCCTCAATGGGAGTAGGCAGAGATTGACAGAGTGCTTGGGAGTCTCCACTGTCTGGGCAGGTGAGATGCTGGGCTGGGACAGTGGCTCTTCCATGTAGCCAAGGGATTTGCTCTTAAATGCACCAGAAGGACAGAAAGCGGATAAATAAACCTGTGGTTTTCCCTCTTGTAGGCCTACTCCCTGGATTACTCACTCACAAGGGCTCTATCTCTGGAGGTATGACTGGAAGTTTTTAGATTTGAGTCTGTGAGTTCCAGTTTTGACATTTCTCCTGGCAGAGCTTGTGGCGAAAGAAAAGGAAATTCCATGTGCCTCCTGTAGGTTCTGGTAGCCTGTGCTGGCAGAGAGATCCTTTTTCAAAGGTAACTGAAGAATTATTGTTTGTTATGTCATCTCTTGCTGTTAAACAATCTTTGAAAAATCCTTTGTTCTGAATCTGTTGTATGGTTACCAAAGTGGATTTCTCCTACTCATAGCAAGTTTGGAAATAAACTTCCCCAAATGTTAATTTTAATATCTGATAAAAAGCATAAGGAAATGAGGATTTTGCCTCATTTTTTAACAATTAAATCTAGTGTTCATCAACCCACTTTAGCTGTAAGGAAAACTGAAGAAAGAGCAACCTATCAGAAGACTGAGTATTGCTTCCAGCAACATTGATAATGAGTTTACTAAAATAGACACTACTTTACATTTTTGTATAAAATACAGATTAAAATATAGGAAGCATATTGAATATTTACTCTCCTTGGAAAGACTACATGCTGAGAATATATTCCAAAAAGATACAAATATGCATGTGCATAAGGGTATATTGCATATATATATATATATATATATATATATATATATATATATGTACTATATAAATGTATGATAATGAGTTTTATGGGAGAAAATGTTTTCCGCTCTCCCCTGTTTACAGTCAAAAAGCAGCAATGTCCTGCAAAATTTGATTTTGAGTAAAATGTTTGCAGTAAATCTATTACTAGATAGCATTATTGAGTGAGCATGCTTGAAGAAAAGTATTTCTGATTTTCTTTGTGAGCTTTCCTTGTAACATGCTAGACATTAACAGATATGTTGCTAACTGATCTCATTTACAACCTGAGTTAAGTGCTGAAATCTTTGGGCTGTGCATGGGGATTTGGCAGCACTGCCTGCCCAGTGAGTAAACAGCACTGATGTTTGGTAAATGGTACTCTGAGTTTGTCCTTGTGGTTGTACTTACAGGCTGGAAGGCCATGTCCAACATTATGGTGCCTTTGACACTCAAAAACCACTCTGCCCTCAGAGCTTCTTGCAAAACCTTCAAGGGGACTGTGTTCTTTTGCAAGGTGTGCCTAAAGGTTACCTGTTTTAATGACACTAATGTTCACTCCTCCATCCAGCAGGGCCCAACGCCCAAGCAGAAAAGTTCCAGCTGTGGCTGGAGCCTTATAAAAACAGGCAGAGTCAGCAGCACAGCCAAGGGTACCCTCCTTTATGCAGTATATAATAGTTAATATGTAATTCACAGAATTAAAAAAAGTCCAAACAAACCCAAATTTTTACTAAGCTTACTAGAACATGGCAATAGCGAATGACGAGCAGCACTGAAATACTAACTACATGATGTAGAGACAACTGTAACCCTGGAAAGGAATTAGCTGGTGAACCAAAACATAATAGGAATAAATCCAGGAAACATCCTTCACTTCAGAATAATGAAAGAACAAATTCAGAATGCATTTCTCACGCTGTTGGGAGAGCGAGAAACAAGGGTCTACAGCCTAAACTAAGAGGTTAAGTAATTTCTATTTACACAGATTTTGCTATATCTGATAGAACCAGGGCTCTGTTTTGTAACTAGATTAGCTGATGTGAATTTGGCTGCATCTGTGTGGCATCACTGCAGTAAGTGGGATCCAAGTGGATGACTAATCGTGGCAGGGAATTGGGTTTCCAGACTGGGCTGTGAGGTGGTCAAGCAGTCAAATAGCTGTGTATGGATATGCCTGTGAGCAATCCTAGTCCATTCACTACATCCTAAGTGCAGACGTATTACTGGCAAAATTTCCCTTATCTTTAGCAAAATTAAAGACAATCTATATATTAAAGCTCCAAAAATTCATATGAGAAGGAGTGAAATGTGCTTTACTTGTATTGCTGTACAAGTTGGTGTATTTTGGGTAATTATATATCCTATATGAAATGACAGGCTGGAAGAGAATGAAGTCCGTTTCAGAGGAACATGAAATATAGAGTATACAATTTAACATTTCCCTGGAAATTAAGAAAAGTAGAAGACAAGAAAACAGCAATAGTTTCAGCTTTACAAGTGCTCATCTAGTTTGCATTCAGTCTTTCAGTAAATACCACAATTAAAAACTCCTTCAGAACAAAACTGACACGATTTTGCTTATTACACAGATGGTGATGTCAGCTACATGACTTCATTTGTCATAGCATCTTATTACCCACTTGAAATTCTGAGTGATGGAAACAAAATTAGAAGAGCAAAAAAAACCTCCTCATGTTTCAATCAAGTGATGAGAAATCCACCTGATAAGCAGATGTTGCTCAGTTGTTTGTCAGTGTAATGCAACTACCTAAATGATTTTATTTACAACCTGAGGCTTTTCTACCAGCTTATCATATCTGTGTTAGCTTTGCTTAATGAAAATAGCAAAACAGAGGGATTTTTTTCCTAACCCCACATGTTGAGCTGAGAACTCCTACAATATTTTAGGAAAGTCAGGGCTGTCATTGTTGTCATCTAGACAAAAAGCAGGAGGATGGCATTATTTTGTTACTGTGACATGTTTCTAAATGTACCTTGTGGATTCATATAACCATAGGATGGTATGTCTGCTGATGACTCATGCTGACTCACCCACTGAGCCTGAATTTACTGAGCCTTCTTCTGTGCCCACACACAGCGATATGATTTCCAGTCTGAGTGAATTCTTTAAAATTTAATTTAGTAGGCTTTAACTACAGAGTCAGATACGCTTCTTCAATAGTTGCCTTGATTTGTTTTTATGTCTTATTAAATGTGTGTTCAGATTATGTTTTGCAGAATGCTTTGAAATCAATTTTGAAAATAATGTGGATAAGTGCAACCGTGCTTTCCAGACATGAAGGTCTGTCTGAAAGCACTGGAGGTAGAAGCATTG